GAGTACCCAGACTCAGCAGCCACCATGTAATATAACAGCGAGCTGAACCTGTTGAATTGGTAAAGCGTCAATAAGATTACCAAAATGAAGTGTGTCAGATCTGGATGGTGTAGGTGTGAAAAGAGAAAAAGATTACATGTCGCCCTTGAGATACAAATCCAAGGCTTTCCGCAAGACGCTGCCCAGGTATCCGTTGTGCTCCGCTGCCCACTTTACCCACCTGCAGTCAGTCAAAAAGACACAGTCACGGCAGGCGATCGGCGCAAATCATGTTTGTGCAATAAGTGCGAAGAGGGTCGGTGGCTAACAAAAGTGCGTCCGATGGACGTCTGTGCACGCATCCAGGTAGCCCAGTGGTCCAGATGCTGGCCAGGTGAATCGCTCCTCTGATGTGGCCTCTCTCTGCAGACTTCAGGTAGTACCGATAGGCCATACACTGCAGGGAAGACAAGAGGATAAACCGCCACACATCAGCCTCCTCGTGTGTAAGCACGCTGGTAGATGAACGCACTAAGCGTTCATACTCGGGGCTAACCTGGTCAGCAACTTTTCCCGGATACAAGCCCTGAGAGTACACAACGCCGAGGTTGAAAGCAGCGTCTGGCGACTGCAGGAGATCCGCCTGCTGCCACAGCTGCACCGCCCGCATGTAGTCGTGTTCAAATTGCTCATAGTACCAGGCCAGGGCGTTTATTGCAGGAACAAAGTCCTGTGGGCAAGAACGTCGTAATAAGACTGGCGGGTGAACGCTTGAATGAATTTTAGCAACCAAATTCAGATATCATTTCTTTTTAAGTGTAATAAGAATGGAATTAACAAACCTGGTCCATGGCTTTCTTCAGGAAAGTAAGAGCCTTTGGAATGTCCTTTTCAACCCCAAGCCCCTGCAGTGCAACAGACATCATATTTATTAAAAACAGTTTTAAACTACATAATGACACCAAATAGGGAGTACATCAGGTGTAGTTCCCACCTGTAGTAGGACTATGCCATAGTCGTACATTGACGCTGGGTCCTTCCACTGGACTGCTCCCCTTTCGTAGTGTCTCACAGCCTTCTGGATGTCTGGAGACACTCCCTGCTGACCCCAGAACAGCATGCGGGCAACAGCTCCCTGGAAAACAGTTGCCAAATGATTACAAAATGTACACGATAGAACGTTCTCACCTGATCGTGTGTTCCTGGTCACTTTATTTTACCCTGGAATGTGTATTTTGAAACACAGGCCTGACATTTGAGGACGACCTTTTGTTTGTTTTTTATGACTTTCTTATGCTTGTGTACTTTCAGCCTAAAAAGCACAGATGACAGAAAAGGGTTTACCTCGGCTTCAGCTGCTCCCCTGCGTGCTTGCAGTGTCAACCATTGGAAGAGATGGTGGTCTTCATTGGTCTGGAGATTCAACGCCTCGTCGTCGTTTAGGTAAACAGCCTCCACAAATATCTAAAAGAAAGGGGAGGGGGACAACCGAAATGAGCTCTGAATTACAACCACTGTTATTGCACATTACAGACATACTGTTGGCTGTATAAAAGGTATAACACAGCACTACCAAGACCTGCAAAGCGAGCACAGCAAAGCATCCAGTTACAAACACATATGTGTTACCTGCTCCGGTACGGGATTGTGGCGGTCCAGAGTTGTCTGTTGAGCAATGTTGGCATAGTAGGCATACGCCAGGTCTGGGTCTGTGGGGAGACCATCGACACCCAGGTGGTGCAGGTGCCCGAGACGCAGGAGTGCTAACCGCTGGTCTTTCTGGGCTGCCAGCAGGGCCAGCAGCCAAGCCTGCGCCAGACACAAGGGCATGAGAGGATGTTTATTTTTCAAAAGTCCCACCTATGGCAGAGATCTACTAACAGCTGACACTGAAGCACACACACACACACACACCTTATTGGGCTGTTCCTCGACTCCCAGGCCAGCGGTGTAGAGCACTGACGACATGTGCAGAGCTTGGTTATCAGCTAAGCAGCCGGCTTGGAGCAGCAGCGGCAGTATTCTGCTGACCGCTCCAGCGTTGCTGGCTCTGCTCAGCTTATGGAGCGATAAGGAGTACAGGGCTCGGCCCACAGCGGGCAGGCTGGCTCGTCTTTTTCCTGCAAGTCAGGAATTGAACGGATTTCATTGGTTTGTGTGAAATGAGACATGATATTATCTGTGAATAATAATAAGCATGTAATACTGTTAGCCCGGCACCATAGGAAGCAAAAGGGTGCACTGCAAACTCTGCCGTGCAGTCAAACTTGCATCAGACCCACAGGTCGGATGTGTTCAATCGTCAATATGGTCAATATATGTCGCTGCTCATAAATACAAACGTCACCAAAGTGAATCTTTGTCTCTCACCGTGTTTGAAAACCAAAAACCTGGCTAATTTTGCAGCTTGTCTTCTACGAGGGACAGTTGTCTCCCACAGCTCACACTGTGACTCTGATGGCTGTCTGCACTTCACCATCCGCTCATGGAAGCCATCGAAGCATGTCTCTGAAAACAACACACAATTGACAGCCTCCAGACACATCCAGAGGGCCTGCGGATATCGTGTCAGACGCCGGAACATCAGCGCCATCTAGTGGATACGAACACCTCCTACCAGACTCTGTCTCCTGTTGGGCCTCGAGAAGATATCCACTGATTTTAACATCCATCTCCAGACGGAATTCCTGACAGGACTCCAGCCAGCCTGTAAGGTTCAAAGTCCTGATAACATCTGGAACAACCACCTCAGCCTGGATAAGAGGAAAATGATGAGACTCCACTTGTAGAGGGTGAGAATACATTGCAGCCCGGTGCAGGACATTACCATGCTGTGAGGTGGTATACGGTTGCGGTAGTAAATCACCGGGCCAAAAAAACCTGCCACACCTCTTATGTATTTCCCTCCGCCAATCCCAAAATATCCCTCCGTGTCATCTAGCACGGCGATATGCGCCAACCTGTAAGACACAACGCAGACATCTTTTTTTATTTTCGGGTTGTTAACGCAGCACTGCACATCTTGTCACGTGTGAGGCACACTTACATATGTACTATGGAATAAACCGTCCTCTGCTCCTTATTCAGGCACACCATGGAGACGGTCACCTGAGACGCACAAGAACGACCGCGTTACATTACAGGTCATTTAGCTGACACTTTTATCCAATGGGACCATCCAAAAGCCACAGCTTTTTTACACTTTGTCCCAGGGAGCAATTAGAGGTTAGGTGTCTTGCTCAGGGACACTTTGACATGGGACATGGGGCAGCTGGGACTCCTGGGACCACTCACCATTGTAGCGCGCAGCGCCACGCTGATTTGGCACCACTCGCTTAAAGGCACCTTGAACGCGGGAGCAAACGCGGAGGATCCATGAGACTCTCCGTCCATCTGGACGTGGAGCTGGCCTGCACGTGTGCGGCAACGACAAATGTAAGTCCATGAAATAAAAATGTAGTTGCACGAGGAGAACATCAGAAAGGCGAGAGGAGAGTCTTACCTGATTTTTTGAGGAACAGTGTTGGCGTGACATAGTTGTTGTGGGAGTCTACATGGTAGAGCAAACCACACAGGTCATCCTGGCAGTGTCTGGTGACAAATATCCACACGGAGAACATACACCTGGCAATCAGGACACACAAAGCGCCCGTGGTCAGGTGTCCCTAAACAGCCGGTGCATTTTCCAGAATAGGAAGCAAGGCCGTTGTCTTACCACGGGGAAGAGATGGCCTCGACGCGCAAATACTCCAGAACCTCAGCGCCGTACGGTTCCAGTGTCTTTGTGATACCAAAGGTTTCTCCGGTCGAGCCATACATTGAAGACAGGAGGTGCACCGTTTCTGAACGACATGAAGGGTTGAGATCTGAAAGACTGCAATCACCCTAAAAAACACAATCATCCTCTCCGGACCATGTTCACTAGGACACAACTGTTACTAAAAGGATTCATCTGTATTCTGAGCATGATGTTCTCACATTATCACAGAAGAAATTGGGAGTTTTCAAGGCCAAACCCTTTGAAAGATATCAGGCTTTAGTTGCTAGTTGTGTCCAGTTTACTGCAGTTTTAAGCTCATTCCTTAACCCCTACCTCGCTCCATAGGGCATTGCTTCTTTGAAAAAAGTTGAGTTATTCGCAGCATCTCCGTGCTCCAAGGAACGCACAGTTGATGCCGTTTCATAGGTCGACCAAAAAAACCCTTAGGCTGCAAAGTTGCCGCATCCTGAGCGGCCAGGGACTCCTCGGTGTCATCGAATCCACCGTATCTGACCGAGGCCAGAAGCACGCAGCTCAGCACCCGCCGGGAGTCCGGGACGATCCCGTCGGCTCGATACACCAACCAATCGGGAAGGTTCAGCGCCAGAGTCTTCACCTTTAGGTGACCGGGCACGCAGCTCCACCGTCTCAGTAGGGTTGTTGAGGTGATGCCGGTCTCAAAAGATACAACGCAGTCCAGCTGCACCGCGGCAGGTCCGTTACAGGAGTAGAGCACGTCCAGAAGGTGATCCGGCACAGGCTCCTCCGGAGGATTCAGCAGTGTCACCTGGTCTAAAGTCCAAACTATCTGTGTGGGGCAGAAGAGACGCAGGAGGTAGACAGAGAGAAAAGAGACCGGTGTGTCACAGATCATGAGGGAAAACGTGCTCCTACCTGTACAACGAGTCCAAAGAGGCAGATGGATCTGTGCAGCGTGTGTAAATCCATGTTTCATGGAGTGTTTTCATTCATCTCTCAAGCTGCTATAAAAACAAGAAGATCCGGCCTTCATCCTGCTGCACCTTACTGACGTTTAAAAGTGAGTAAATATTTGACAGCACACAGTCAAATACACAGCGCAGGTGGGGTGGAGCTTAAGCAATTGGGTTGCATTCCAATACAAGTTAAACAGATATCACCTGTTCAACTGAATCTCCACCGACTTCTGAGCCGTAGTTCAAAGTGAATTACGGATGTCCAAAGATGGGAAAATGTTGTGACGTGCAAAGTGTGGTTTAAGTCCAAGACAAATCAGCTCACCTTTCATTCAAAATAGTTTATTGCCATCATGCAGAAGTGTCATAAAAGTCTAGACCATCACAGAAGATGCAAAATGACCATTTTCTCTGTACAAATATACCGTGTGTATTCATAAATAGAAGCTTCAAATAAAAGGAAAAAAACAGTAAGGTGGGGATTAACGAGTTTAAGCAGATCCACTCTTTAAACCCGATGTAGGTTTTGTTGCTACAGTTGACATGCATCAACATAACAATGCATTATAATTGAAGGCGCAGTGACACACACGCGCGCTCGCACACTTTCAGATGGCACTATCAAATGTACAGCTCGGTCGTGCAAAAAAGGTACAAATGACACTAAAAAAGTACCAGTAGGAAAACATTTTTTTTAAGCTGGTTTCTAAAATAAAATGTTAAAACATGTGTTATGCATCCAAACCACCTGTTGCGAGGCCGGGGGGACGCAGACGGTATCTTTTCGCAGCACTTTTTGGTTGTTCTTCGGTCAGGAGCACCCTTGCTTCTTAAGTAATCACCTACAACTACTGATGCATAGTTCTGTGCTCATCAGAAGCAAACTCATATACCAAAACTGGCACAATGTTCTGTCGCGGTGACCAAAGGAGTCTGTATTTGTAGCAAATGTAAACATGCTGTCCTGATGATACTGTCACAGAAACGATAACCCTTTGACATTTGGCGGTTTAACTTTACACATCACATACTAGGTGTACAACCGTTGCGTGGCTCCGCGTAAACGGCCCTCCTCCCCCAACAGAGGTGGTGATTTGGCACTTCGACGTGATTGGTCTCCAGCTTTCATTTATCGCCGAGCTAAATCTTCCATAAAAGGTGGATTACAAAGTGGCTGTGGTTTGGAAAAACGTCCATCTTACACAGAGCAAATGGTTTGGTGGTGGAACAGTAGCCCTTACCAGCACCCGCCTCTTACTCGTGTGAGTTGGTCATCGTCCTCCAGAACAGTCAAACCAAAACGTTAAGACAAGAGGATAACGGGAGACAAATCCCAGTAAAACTCCCGGCCAGTCAATGTGTCGGGTCCCATTTCTCTTGCAAGGTGAAAATCTTTCATAGTTGAATAAATGTGCTTTAAGTGTTTGCTCAATGTGTTGTATATTGTACACGTGCTCTGGAGCAGTGTCCTAATTAACAAATTCGATACAATGTTCATTGTCAAGCAATATCAATATTGTGTTTTTGGTAACAAAAAAATAGTTCACGCTGGACACTTAATCCAGTCAATTTAAACAACTAGATACTTCCTGTCCCATGAAGAAACATCCAATATTAACCAGTGGTTATGTTGGTTTGTATTGCTTAAAAGCTGGATATTTGAGCCACGCACCTCTTTCACTATTCTATGGTCTTATGCACTAAACAATTAAATACTCAAAAGACAAAAGGGCAGATGCTGCCATTCAATGGCCCTTCTGTAACTTTGGGGATTTACTTTTCTCAAGCTGTATTTTGTACACTAGGTCGAGCGCAAATAATTCTTGAGCATTTTGATACTTCTACAGAGTGTGAATCAAACAAAGAAGCTACTATTGCTGTGCTCAAACTGCATTTAAAATGTCACTTTTGGCTGCCAAACATGTACTGAGTCTTTCCATGACTACTCGCGTGTCAAAGTCTCATGAAATGTGTCATTTGCTCTGCCAAGAAGACAACAAAAGACCAAAAAAACAAAACGTGATAACCTTCAATAAAAACACAGTAGTCAGTGAGGAAAAGGGAGTGCACATTCACTTTGGACTCGTAGGCTGGGTGGTTATGTAGTAATACAAGAAACATCAAGTGTCTTCTAGGCAGGTTAACAACAAGAACCAAGCAAACACTAACGGCATTCGAGTATCAGCCCAACAAAAGTGAAGACATGCTAAATGTAATAGATTGTAGAACAAGAAAGAAAAGCCAACCGGGAGACACATTTCCCTTTGAGAGTAGCACAACTTCCTGCAGAATAAATAATACTTTACATTCCAATATACAAACCTACCCATTTCCCAAAAATTCAACATTGACCCATTAAGCAGATGATAGCAGACGGCTGGTTGCTCAAGATGCAAGAGCAACAGATTGAGCCCTCATTTTTACCTTTAATTGCCCTTTTTTTTCATCTTTTTTTCTAAATAGACCAGCGGAATACAGTCCTGTAGTTCATGTAGCCCTTATTTCCTCTGTTTCTTAAATATCTTGAAGGTGTGTTTCTTGCGACTGGCAGTAGAATCGGTTTCTTCTCCCGTAGAGCCGCTGTCTTCCTCCAGCGGGCTCTTCTTGGACGACAGCTGCGGGATGCGGCTGTTCACCTTCACCCCCGGTTGCCCTCCTAGCGGTGACGGTGTGTCCGCTTCAGTGGAGTTGGGGCTGAGAGAGCGGGACGACTCCGTCAGGCTGCTGATCTCCCCCAGGCTGGGCGACTGCTCCGTGCCGTACACCTTCTTCATGAGTATGGGGCTGTCGGGGACGGGCTCCGTGGGACTGACCTCGTGAATGCGGTTCCCTCCGTTGGGGGTGTGAGCGTGCAGGGAGAGGACGTCGTCTGTGCGGCCGGACAGGCCGTGAATGAAGGAGCTTGGCTTGATTATGTGGCCTTTGGAGCTGTAGGCGGACAGCCGATCGCCAGCTTGAGAGAGCGACAAGGACCACTGAAAGTCAGCATGATTCAGGTCCTTGCGGGAGTACACACAAGTTTAGAGAATACAAGGACGGCATCAACAACAAACTAACATTCAGTTAAAAGCATTTCCATGCGTGGGGGTTTCTCTACCCGATGCAGGGCACATCCTGGATCTCCACACGGGTTAGTTGAGCAGGCAAAGAACAGGAAGCCAAGAGGTTGAAAAAGATGCACGCGCAGGATGTGGATCCTGGAATGCAACATCGGGTACAGCGACGCCAATGAACAATGATTGAAAGTAAACCAACACAAAAGCGAGCAAATCTGGACGACAACTGACAGACGAAGAGACCTACGCTACGATGCACTTTGAAAAAACGCATCCACGCACATGCGACTCGTGTGGAGAAAGGGAAAGAGATGGGTACCCGAAGCGGTCGCCGTACGAGGGGCGCGCTTTGGAGACATCGGAGAAGGTGAAATCAGGAATGGGATCCATGGGCTGGAAAGAAGCGTGATATATGTGGGAGGAATGAGGGGCTTCAACGGCGCCCACAGCGCCGGGCGAATGAGGGTTTAGCTTTGAGGCACAGATGACGGAAGGGTGAGACACAGCCGAGGACAGAGGAGGCAGAGGGGGACAGTCGAGCTGGCCAAACGACTGGCTGCGGGACTGTATGAGGGCGGCCCTAGACCTGGATGGGTACGGGGTTCCCTCCCCCTGCTGCCCCGCCAATGGGCAACTCTCTACCAACCTCTGGGAGCCCATGGCCAGCTGGGGGTCAATGTGGCGTTGGCGCAGGGACATCATACTGGGAGCTGCGGGCAGAAAAACAACAGGGTTATCAACGACCACTCGTGAAAGGCGTCGTGACGGACCAGATCAGGGGGGAAAAGACACCCGGGTGCTGGGATTGCAGTTCTCTTTGCGTTCACCGAATAGAGATATATTCCATTCACTCATTTGCCCTAATTCAATTGTGATAAGATCCCAGCACCGCTGTTCTATCTAAAAGGGACACACACACAACAATTATAGGCCCATTTCTGAAAGGAAGTCACAAATCACCAGGAGAAGAAAGAAGCGGTGCACTGGCTGGGGACCAGATTTAGTGAGGGGAGGGAAGATGTGGAAAGCAAGCAACTAAAGGGGAGGCGAGATGACCGCAGCACAAAGTGCTTCGACTTTCAGCCGTGTCCATCTGCATGGTACGGTCTAGCATTACAGCGCCGTGGGGGGAGGAGCCAGGGGAGGACCGAAACGGGACGTGTATAAATGGCCAACCGGGTTGTTTCCACATGTGCTGGCGGTCTGAGCCGACAGGCCACACGTCGCTGGCTTGCATTTGGGTGCCGTCTGTGGTTAGCCCAACGGGATCCCGGTGGAAGACAAGTGCCAGACAGGCGTCGATGAGGGAGAGAGAGGGGGGGTTATTTTGGTCGGAATACAGTTCTGATAAACGTTTTTGCCCTCAGTTATTCAAACGTGTATCAAGTCGTGCCATATTTAGCTATTATTAGTAGTAGTAGTAGTAAGATGTGTTTATCCAAGACTTCAGCAATGAGAATAACACGTTTGTTTTACCTGAGGGTTTGAAAAAAATATATATATTTGTGCATATATTTTTTCACATATTCAAGGTAAAAAAAATAATTGAAATTGGGCACTGACTGCATTTAATATACTTCCTTTGGCTGCAGCGGTTTCATAAAACACTCTCTCAGGGTCTGTAGCAAATATTAGTACACAACCACTACAATAAGGTCAGCACAAAAACTTGTTCTCATTAAGAAGTGTATTTTTCTTGACATTTCAATTTCCAGAGGAAAGTCACAGCAGTCAATTCAGTCCCCGTTACAGACTGAGAGTCAAGTTTACACTTTCAGCCGAAATGAGAACCAACATAAGGCATGAATTGGTATTGTGTGTACAAGAACAAGACATTACACAAAAGTGAAACAGCACTCATTCAATCGTAGACATGTGACCCTCACTAGCTCCATGACCTGGGAGCCCACAAAGACAAATCGTAGCATAACAAAAAAAACAAAAAAAAAAACAGGTCCAAATTCTCATGTGAGCTGACTTTTGGATTTTCCCAGCAGAGCCTTGGAGTGTTTAGGGGTTCGTTTGATACTTCCCCCAGAACTGCCAAGAGATTCAGATGAACTCTTACATTGCAGAGTTCCAGGCACGAAATCCTCATCCATGTCGTCCATGTCGTCAGACATGATGAAGTGCTGAGGCGTGGCTCTGCCGCCTACGAAGCCGGGGTCGAGGTTCAGGGCGGAGGCCAGAGAAGGGAGGCCCGGGTTGTTGACGATGGTGAAGCCTGTGAGGATCTCAATCTGCTGCCAGCGGTGCAGCCTCTCCCGCAGAGCGGCCGTCACCTCGCCAAGCGCTTGTCTGTGAACGGATGGGGGAGGAAAGAGGTCATTTAGTACACTTTATTATGTAAATGTTTTTGTCGGTAATCCGATAGACAGAAACATGTTAGCACCCATATGTCGGTTGGTTTGGGAAGCAATATAACAAGAAGGAGAAAGAAAAGGCTACACCGGTAAGTGTTACTTCTCCCTTGTCTTGATATTAAAGTCCATATCCATTACAGACCCATTCAGAACCAAGTCATATTACAGAGTACAGTGAATACTTTTTCCCTCAGTGCCCTGTAATGTCAATCCTGTACAAATGAAAACTTAAACAAATGGAGCTTGAATTTCAAAATGATGTTAAATGTACTCCACAAGTACAATTTCACTTACTTTGCTGCCAGTATTTTGTGGTCCACGTCATCCAGGGAGGAGCTGTGAGCCACGTGGAAGGTCCCAAACAGAGTGTTTCTTTTTTTCTTTATCTTCTCTGCCTGTGAAAACAAATGACCACAAAACGCAGCTTTTGGTAAATATTTGATATTTGGAGAGGCCACACTAATCTCAGGACTGTGCATTGTAGTAGAAATCCCAGCGACTGAGGTTCATCTTCTTGCATGCTCACCCCTTCTTTGGCCACCAGGAGCTGCCGCTCAGCGTTCTGCTTCTTGATGTTGTAGTACAGCACCTCCACCTCGTGGGTGAGCTGCAGCCACTTCTGGAGAGACTCCGGCGGGGACCATCTGCTCCTTGACTCCAGCTCCTTCTCCGCCTTCCTCAACGCCATGCGCACCTGCAACAGATATACAAATATATAGATTTATAAAAACCAACGCACGTTTCTGATTCTGTAAATGGGAGAATTCCAAGTTGTATGTGACTTTTAACCAAAATATAAGAGTGATGTGTGAAACAGCCCCTGAATGTGCTACAAACAACAACAACACTCAACTTATAAAAAAATAACACAACGTTTCATTGCGCGCACATACACACACAGAAATGACGAGCACGTCTCAAGCCTACACACTCCAAAACCGTGCTCATATTGATAGACTGGTGGATCTGAACACTTGCCTCCAAGTGTCTTGAATCTACACTGAGGGCCCTGCATTTTTCCAATCACCGTGTTTCTGAATAACAAAAAAAAGAAAAAAGCGGTGCCAAAAGAGTCTGAATCAGTGCGATATTCCCTCAAGCGAAAGTTCACGTGTTTTACTTACTTGTGTGAGACGCGCTGTGCTGTTCCTGCCCAATTCCTAATGGACAAAAACTGCAGTGGGCGTATGTATGCTAAAGCCAGCGTGACTCTGATGAAACCAAAACGTACTGTGCAGTTGCCACCTTTAAAGTCGACGCTATCCACTCACTCAGTGCTTCTGCTCTGTGCGCTTAGCCAGAAACTCTGTGTTCAAATCACATTTATCACTTTGCAACTACCTGATCCAGCTCTTCCTCTGCGTATTTTTGGCGACTGAGCTCGTTCTCGGTGCCCTCACGCAGCTCCCTCAGACGATGGGCCTCCTGCTTTGCTGCGTTGATCTCATTCCTCAGCTTCTGCTCCAGGGTCACCTTCTCCACCTCCACCGTGCGGTGCTCCTCCTGGGCGATCTGCAGCCTGAGAACAAGTCAACTATCAGACATTTCTGCTCATCTCAGCGGCAGACGCCTTTAGCCGCTTGACACGGCCACACAAAGAAACAGAGTAGTTGGTTCCAGTGTCAGTGGGCAGGCATGACGTGTGAGCGCGCCAGTACAATGTATGTTTGGAATCTGAGACCTGCATCACCATATGGATCACTGCAAACAATGGCGAACATGTGGCGAGAGAGAGAGAGAGAGGAAGCAGAGAACCATGGCCGGCCGAAAGGCAGCTCACAATAAAGTGACATCAGGAGGGAGCACAGCGAAGAATGAGAACAGCTGCCACCGTGTAACTTTAGAACGGTACAGTGTGGAACCCGGTGTGAGATCACGTGCCAGTTTGTATGCCAGATATTTTTAGACTCCTAAAAAAAGAAAGGGTCTACTTTTTTTAAGCAAGGGGCTCGTCACTCTGGACATAGTTGAAGAGGATTATGTCATGAGTGAGCCTATCTTTTATTAAGTGTACTTTCAAATATCACCTGTGTGTGCGTGCACATGCAGGTGTCCATCGGGGCGGAACTCTGCTGCGCGCTAAAAAAAAAAATGCAGGTGCTGCATTATACACCCCCCCCCCCCCAATATAATGGTGGGGGGAAAAAGTGATGTTGCAGTTTAGATCCTTGTCACTCCAAAATGTCATCAAGTTATCCTAATTAGCAGTTCAGTTCTTGAGTTCAGTGACCTTGACCGTTCAAATCACGTAAACTTTATTTTAGCCGAACTTGAAGAAAATCCCTCAAGGTCTTCCTGAGATATTGCAAGCCAAAGAGAAGATGTCACTGGGAGGGCGTAGCAAAAAAAACAATAACCCTCCAAACACTAAAAGGGCAGGACGCTCTTCCACATTTTAGTCACTGGGGAGAAACTCTGCTCCTTTCAATCCAAACAACGGCAGAGGGAGCAGAGAATTGAAAGGAGATCCAGAGAGTTGGCTGTGGAGAAATGTGAATGGCCGGCAGTACTGCTAATGCTTTCCACCCTGACCTCTGCCACAAGGGAGCACCGACAGAGCCACAAAATGCAGCGGAAACACCTGACCTGCACGACCAGGCTCTCAGGACCCGGACGGAAGGCTTACGTGGACTTTAGAGGAGAAAGTACACAACAACTCACGGAATGTCAAAACGCTAATATTTGTATTCATTCAACCGCCCTACTGTGGAAACATACTGTGTGAAAAGAAGAGCAACTACCACACGGCATGTGGTTGTTTTATGCAACACTCCTTCTTCAGGGTATCTGCACACCACACCTCCACCCGAACGCGGTTGAATCAGCACTAGAGCCGACATGCTAAGCGGTCACGCTTAACACCATCTCCCAGCAGTGGGGCTCTGACGGCGTTGTGAAAAGGCACACAGGAAATCCAGCTCCTGTCGAAGCCTCCTCCCTCTTGCGTCCCAACGAGGCAGCCGGCTACTTGACACCAGCACAGGATCTGACTGAAGGTATGGAAAGACAGCAGCTGGCAGCCGGGATCAGGAAGAAAGCACGGCCACAGACAGAGGACATACCTCCACCACTATCTGAGCTGTGAAATCTCCTGCTCTGTGATAGTGTCCCACAGAGGTAGTCACACTGACCTACAAAATATCATTTGATATCCCTCCCCCTCCGCGCCTCAGTGCTCTGCTTTCCATTCAAAACCCTTTAATGACTCCCAACAATGACTCCGTAAAGTCTGAGCATCTCAGTCGCCTGCTATTTATTGTCTGCTTTGGCAGTAGACAAATAGCTTGAAATGTTCTTTTTATAAGTGAATACACTTGCTCCTGCAAACACCTGGTATAATAAATGGGGAATTTAAAATGATTAAAAACAATGGGACATATTTTACTTCATGAGATGCAGGTGCAAGACAATTGGTCGACTTCTGAGCTCTCATTCAACACTGATTTGATTTTAATTTGGTTGCACAACACCCTTGAATCAAAGCAGATAAATCATACTGCATACACTCTCTGTGAGTGACCATAACTCTAGTACATGAAATAGAAAGTAGCGTCTGCAGTGATCACACTCTGCTATGGGGAAGTTTTGGCGGAAAAATGTCCGTACAAAGCTCTCTGGTTTCATATGCTGAGCCGAATTAAGTATGAGCAATGATCTGAGCAAGAAATAAATGTCAGCGCTAACTTAGAAGTTGGCAGTGGCAAGTGTAATGCCACAGAGGAAACACAAAGGCTTGTGTGGCCGTCTGTCGGAGGGACAGAGTTTGACCTCAATGGCTTGTCCCTACTGGAGCGGTTAATGGCTCTTTAGATTTGCATCAAGTAGGCTGATCTCACTGTACTGCTCCAACATGCAGACATCAGAGCGATTACGAAACACAGAAAAAGAAGAATCCGTAGCTTCATCAACCGTTTCTTTACATTTGCAATATTCATCAGAGCATTGCCTGTTTCAGCAACGTGTGTCTGCTAAACAGCCAGACGATACGAAGAGTAACTAATGTGTGAAAGAGGGTGGTGGGGTAGTATAAAAGGCAACTCAATTTAGTGCTAACCAATTAATAAAATACTATGACACATACTCCATCCTGCTGGATTAAGTTCAAATCACTTTTCATGTTCGGACCGAGCCACAGTAGCTTATTGCAATCAGACATAATTACAGCTTACAGACCCACAAGATCAGCAGGGGAAACATATGCGTGCAGAGTTAAAAGTAAAAAAACCTGACCTGTGCATAAAAAAAAGAATGTGTTTGAGTATCCTTTAAAGGATATAAAAGGAGATCCGACACGCTTAGAAGCACATTCCCAGCATTCCCTGAAGTATTAACAGGACCAAAATAGTTAGACTGCTCTTAAAACATCTCATTTCCAACCATTTAATCATTAAGGCAGCAACGGCCTGAGCACAACCCGTGTCAGCACACAGTATCCTGTAATGCTGCAGACTAGGGCCTATTAATGGCTAAACTGCAAGGTTCACTGAAGACCAAAGGATTCCAAAAATCAGTGCACATCCATTTCCTAAAGCACAGGCCCCTAAGGGAGAAGTCAGCTGGCTTCTCTCACTGTGAAGGATCAAGGAGAGACAACGTGTGCTTTTTGATCACAGGTGAGGACTGAAGATAACTACGGCACCACTTTGCCATACTGTACATTCAATGCTGCGAACGCAATGACCTATGAGAGATGTAATATCGTCCCTTTGCTTCCAAATTCTAATTTATATCGTAAAAGCAGTGACACTGGCAGGATTCCCTGGCTGCTGCTTCGTTTGAAAGGACTCCTGCATCAGCCCAAAACAAAAGAAAAACATTTCTGAGACAAGAAGCCACGAGGGGAAAAAGAGCTGGGGGCACCATTTTACTTACGGGCTTTATAATTAATATGTGAGGCTGTTGTCCTCCTCTAGTTACCCGCAACAGAGAACAAAACGTTTTGAGAGCTTTACTGTAGCCGAAAAGACGGTCAGCATTTTTTGCACGTTTAAAAGTATGAAGACAAAAAGAAAACGCTGTTTTGTGTGGCAAGGGAAGACTGACAGTTTGTCGTGTGAGCGGTGGGAGGAACCCTCACTTCTGTTGTAGGTCATGGAGACTCTGCTCGGCTCTTTGCAGGCCCTCCAGGTCCGTCATCATCTTCTTCATATGGTCCTTGGAGTAGCGGTTCTGGATGTAGGCAAACCAGCAGCCACCCATGCCAATGACTATTGAAACGACCAGCATGAAGTCCTTCAAGTGGTTGTGTCTGTTCACTGACAGAAAGAGAAAGAGAGAGAGAGAGGAGGGGGGGGTTACTCAAGCGGGAAAGTCAACCTCGAAACCAGAAACCTACAGAAGAGGGTCTCTTCAAATGGCCAGTTTAGCTCTGGATCACAAGATGGAGTTGCAAAAGGTGAGCAAGCTTCACAAGGATGTGGTGTGAAGCTTGTGCCTGAACATGGGCCGAGTCATACCGCGAGTGTGGGGGAGTGACACAAATAGAAGAGCCAGTTGCGGGCAGGAGGGGCCTCGTGCAAAAGGCCGCGACAAAGCCAGCTTAACACAGCCTATTTCAGTCTGGTAACCAAAGCCGGTAAACACACAGAAAAGCAAACAATGGCAACTATAATGATTTGACGAACACGGAGAACTAGGTAAGTAAGTGTGAGTATTATGCCATGATGTCACTGTAAGCTCATAGTGCAGTGTGGGAAGTCCATTTCGTCATTTAATGATATCACGCAGCCATTGCAAAACCTGTCACGGGTTGAGCAGGAAAGAGATGTCAAAAACATGACTTCTACTTCCTGGAGTTAGACAAAAAGTGAAGTAGAATCCAGGAAAGGAGTGCAGGCCTGCTTCCTCTTTAGATGTCATTTGTAAAGTTCTCTAGAAAACCTTCCTCTACCACTGGCTGCTATTAATATGGTGCAAAGTGGAATCCCTCCATAAATGAAACGGCACACTTATCTTTGTGAAACTAACCCTCCTTTTGTTATAAAAGGAAAACTGGCAAGTCTCTAGCTTCAGCTAAACGACCCAGTAGTAGCAAGACAAACCGGTTCAGAGTCTAAAAGCTTTGACCAGCTGGAGCTGAGACAACAGAGAGACAAAAATGAAACAGCGCAGCAGTTAAATATCGCTCTTTTCTCTTCTCGGGTTGGTATAAGCAGCTCATCGCTTCTTAACCACTCAAAATTAGGTCACGGTATCAAACTGAAAATATGCTAAATTTGTCTCGGGTCTGCATTGAGACCGAGCGCCCACGATTAACAGGAACCAGATTCAGTGCGACGTCCCCAAGATAACGCCCGGCGGCACTTGATTCTATTTAACACTATCGGTTTCTGAGCAGGAAACAGCTTGTTGTGCAGTTACTGCATTCACAGAGAGCACAACAGGACGTTTAATCAACTGCGCCGGGGCCCATTGTCATGACACAACGGCCACTAGAATGGGATCAGCCCATTGTGAGCGGTGTCTCAAAATGCTGCTGCTGCTGCTGCTGCTGCTGGGTGGAGCGAGTCAGGCCGACTTGTAGCGGGACCCCGCGGCTTTGAGTGGCTGTCAAAGCCAGACGCCGATGGCTTCCTCTCGGCTTTGACGCAAACAAAACGCATCCACACTGACACATGCCAGACACAGACCCCGACCCCCTCCTGTCTAATCTACCTCAAAATGCATTTTTCTGTGGCCACACTGTTCAGATAACATGAAGGCTGCAGAAGTCTCTACGCACCAATAACATTTTGTGTCATACTTCTCTATGTACTCATATTTCACACATTGAACAGCTCTAAGACACAACCCATCCATTATGATTTAACCCACCACTAGGAAGAAGAAATAAAAAGAAAAGAAAACCTGATGGACAACAATGTAGTGATATTGAGGTTAAGCAAGGACAATACGTTGTGTGTGTGTGTCTCCCTACCCAGAGAGGTGTGTCTGGAATACAGAGTACATAGTGTGTTTCTACACTCGCTTCCTCAAACCGATACAGGTCGTAACAGGATTTCCCCTTGCACATCAAAGGTGATCAGATGAGTAAATCAGTAGGTGAGAGTGACTAAATAAAACAGCACACAGAAGCGAACACACACACAATGCAACGCTTCACGGGGACAAAGTGCTGGTGCAGAATGAGCAGCAGACAGCAGCGATGGGGATGTTAATACAAACAGAAAAACTCCTACAGACGTTTCAAAGTCAAATCAACTCCCCTTTCCTGTGAGGGAGTATCATGTCACGCTGGCTTATTCAGATGTTAACAATTTGTACTGACAAGGTAATGTTTTGTCCAATATCAAAACATTGTAGGTGCACAGAACTATAAAAATCAGCTTTCTTGAAGACACATTTTGAGTGTTTTTTTTCATCAGTATCTCAATGAAATTAGTAATAATGGAAAACTACCATATGTGACGGAATTTTTTTGGCATTCAAAAAGCTCTCCCACAAATTCATAAAGAGATAATAGCCAGCCGGCTGCATCTAGTCAGGGTTTTAAACAATCTAGAACATCTCTGCTGTGGTTGTGTGAAGGTAAACTAAAAACAGGAATTAAAAGGGAAACCGTCACATACTCAGAGGTGCTCCAAACAGAACAGTGTCCAAAGCTTTGAGCTGCAGCTTTTGCACGTGGCTGCGGTCCAAGATCTTCAGAACAGAGAGTGTCAGAGTGGCGTTCTTTATGGCGAGCCTGAGAGGAAACAGACACACGGTCAAGGAAGGAAGAGCCAGCGGTATAATTCGTTTTGGGTCGAGTGTAATGTGACCCCCCCCAATAAATAATCTTAACAATCAGATTTTAAACACTAATGGTCGTCGGACACAATGGTTATGGGGAATTACAAAACATGTAATAAGACTGCTGCTGGCCAATCAGAATAGGGAATGAAATGACTTACAGAGAAAGTAATAGAGCGGGGTTTTAATAGCTCTCATCAAAGAAGTTGCATCAAGCCAACAATACACGTTGGCATGATTCTCATATAGAGTCTCTTCACCTTCATTGAAACGTTTAGTTTCTTATTCGTGGTAGTAAAAGTTTGACGCATCTTATTTGTGGCCCATTTTCCATTTGGAGACTTTAGACGCGTCCTGGCGTGACTTACCGTGGCATGACGGTTCCGTTGAAATTCAACTTGCGAAAGGCCTCCACGTATTGGGGCAGTTCCACGTAGGTGATGAGCCACTCCACCACCTCATCCACTGTCCAGTTGTACACTGCAGGGGCAGAGAAACAAAAACATTGATTGTCATTCATCCAAACCCTGCAGAAGTCAGTACTGATAAGGCTTCAGTGTTCCCCTGATTGACTGCTGACTTTTAACAACGCCTGAGGGTGTTCACGTCTATATTGAGAAAACAATGTATTCTAAGAACTGCGCCCATTTAGCCACTAATTTTAGAACAGCGTTTACAAATATGATGACCTGGGAAAGGGTTACGTTAACTTCAAATACTGTCTCCACTTTCTACAGACAGCGTTTATCTGAAATGAATGTAAATGCCTTCGGGGTCAATACTCACCTCATAGGTATACGTCACTATCATAACTATTAACTGCACCATTGACACAGCTTGACACATGACCCACACATGACCACGTGTTGTTGAACCGTGGAGGATCTATGACGTAAGAACTGGGGACGGGAAACTTACTCCCCTGTTCCTGCCAAAGCTTTAACCGCGTGGCCCGACCGGGTTAATGTGTTGTTCTATTGAACAAAACCCCAGTTTCCTGCCTCCAAGCCTCTAGAGCCTTGGAGACAAACTGCAATGCAGGAACATTTAGTTGTAAGAGCAAAAAAAGAAAAAAAAGGAGGGGGGAGGGGATGGGCCGCTTCAGAAAGGGTGTGAAACAAAATGAGTGTCGGGTTAATACACAGGAGAAGGGCTCTCATCGAGTACACGATAGCACAGCGGAGCAGATAGGCGGCAGGAGGTGAGCGTGTGGGAGTTTTGTGCTGACAGAGTCAACGATGTCCCACTCCAACAGCCACCAGCTGATAAGCAGACTGCACTTTGCCCGACATGCCAGCTGATCCAGCTGGCCCGCTCCTTTGTTGGGCAAGTGAGGACTACACGCAGAGGGGTGAGGTGAAATGCATAGAAAAACAGTAACTTAAGGGCTCCATGCTGCATGGGCTGACAACGGAAAGTCACAAGAAGACCTTTGAGAAGTGGTAACAAGGCAGTACCTTCAGAGCCCTTCCAGGCCTTCTACAGGTCCTCCACGCTGATGAACTGGTCGTCCCTGTGAAAGAGTGTTGTGCTTTGGCTTGGGGTCGTGTAGTTAGATCTTCTCTCAGACTGGCAGATGACACCGTTGGCTGGGTGAAAGGTATCCAGACTAGGTTAACGGAAATATTTAAATCAGGCATTCCTTTGGGGAAATGGCTTAAGTAACTCTGGAAGCAAAGTTTTTGCTGATTGTGTAATAGTGCCACATCTTCTCTTGTTTACTTATTCTTCTGCAACTTGCCGTGTAAAAACAATTCCTCTAAAATTGTATCTTGATCATAGACGTTGCCTGGGAAACCAGCATAGACTCCAGGCAGCTGCTAACAAAAGACTTTTCCCAAAATGTTGAGCTTTCACTGTGAGTGTATCGCAAACATCTAGCTAGCTACTATCCGACCATCTATATTAAATACATTAGTCCTCGGTTCCGTTTCCGCCCTCACTGTTGTGGTGGGGGTCATCCATTGGTCGACCCTTCTAGTTGCCCACTATATTGTAGGCCAACTCAAGACACCTACAGAGCCCTGCGCGCTCCCACAAGAGCAAGCTCATGCAGCATGGGTGGGAGACAAGAGATAAGTCATGATGCTTGGTGCCTCTCTTTCTTGATAGAATGGTGTGGGAGGATTTCACTACCGGGTAGAGAAGTGGTCTGTGGTGCAGGTGAAATAACGGAATGCGGAAAAGATATTCATTGGAAGATTAACACAATATAATAATTAACACTGTATAATGTGGCCAGGACCTTAAGCTTTTCGCCAACATTCAGATCTTAGTCATAAAGAAATCGGCTGTCGTCTCCATTTAATTGTGTGTGATGACAGGAAGTAGGACTGTCCGGAAGTGCTCTTATTCGTGTTGAAAGTTCTATTTCACGGCTTAAAGCCATTACAGATGCCCACTGTACTGTACATAATTTTTTTTGCTTTTCTAATATTCACATTATTTGCACTACTTGCAATAGACCACTTTGGACTGGCCTCAACCACGTGAAACAACCAAAACAGAGTAAAGTCGGGCTGCGGAGGGCGCCGCGTGTAGTTCAGACGGGCCCCGCCTTTGTGGGAAGGCACCAGACTCAATATACGGTGAGCAATATACAACTGTTACAAAACATACAAACCACAAAGTTTGACTAAAAGACATACATTCTTGTTTGTTCGTTGTGTTTGTACAGACGAGACAACGTCAATGTTTACAGCATGCAGGCCAGTTACAACCACACTGTGAATTCAGTTAATTATTGATTAAACACCAGTAAAACAGGGCACTGGAGCGCACACAGGGCCAATCCTGCAGTTGCTTTGAGTGAGTTAAGGACATTACAGGGCGATGACTCCCCGATCATTTTAGCAGGAAATCCTTCCTCGAGTCAAACAATGGCAGATTAGGATGAGGATACCCGTGAGACTGAAGGAAGACACAGCTCTGTGTCTGTACAACACTAGAATATCAACAGAGCATCGGCTCCTGGAGAGAACCGCTTGGGCTGGTACTCACGCCGTCTGTCTCAGACACGTCCACGTTGCCGTTGGCGTCGTCGTCCATCTGCTTGTGGATGCTACGGATCGCCTCGTAGCTGAGGATCCCATTTTCATCCTTGCACAGTGGCGCATCAATGCGACAAAACTCTGGTGGAAAAACAGAGTCATGTCAATATGACGTTACAGGCACTTCTACTATCTACTAATAAATCAACAACAAGGCCGAAGATGACAGACAAAAAGAGAGGAGATGAATCTAACGACTTTCAGTCTAAGTGAAGAACATTAAACAACTTCCACAATCGTGAATTAAAACGGATGTATATAGACAATTCGAGGCAAAAAAAGTAATACAATACATTGAGTTATCATGTGATGGCCACAGATGGCCATCATCATGACTTTGCACAGAACGCAGTCCTCGATTGTCCCTCTCTTTCTCTCGCTCTAGATTCCTCAGTTGAAGACAAAGCCTTCTTTATGTAAAGCCAAATGGGAAGCATGACCCAGACTTACTGTGTAGCCCTAAAAGCCAGTTGGTTCAAAACCAGGTTGGAATTTAATGTATTCAACATTTCCGTTAGTGTGAAGGGCTCAACCTTCAACCATAGAAAAATCAACCATCATCAATGTACGTCGCCATCATAAAAAGGTCATGCAACTTAGCAATCGCTCATCTAGCAGAACCCGTCTGCCGCCGCTGCTCCCTCTCCTTCCGGAGTGATTAGAGATCCTCTGATGCATCACAGATAACGCCGCCACTCCCACTGACGTTAAACCCGTTTGCATGATGTCCTGCAGACACTCTGCAGTTGTTTGAAAGGGAATAGTCGCCTGTGAAGTCCATTTTATGTTACACTCCAGTTAATTTGTGATTTTCCATCTTGGAGCGGGTTTTTCCTGGTTGGATGAAGTTATGTAACTATGCCAAACACATTATGCTTTATTGCGTATTTCGGGGGAGTTATAGCGGTGACGGTGAGGGTTACGGGGAGGTTGCTCTTGCTCAGCGACAGCTGCGACACCAAGAAGTTTCTTGCACACTAACAAGAACGTCCCCCACACAACAGTGTGTGATCAACAGCTGGATCAGTTTTGAGCCTGGTATTTACCTTGATGCCCCCTCCCACATATCCACTCATCACACTAATCCATGCTTTATTTATTTACAGAACCATAGGTTCAGGTTGACTCAGCAAAAGAGAAAGTCACAGGTTAATCTCTGCTGCGTGTACTACGGCGAATCGTGCCTTATGTTTCTCTCCGTGAACGAGGGAGTTGCACAATGGGAAAAAGATCATTTTCTGAGCCAAATCACGCAAGCATTTAGCCTCAGCGCTCTCCTCACTCATTCCCACTCACCAAATCAAACAAAAGGGCCAGTTATTCGAGTGAGACTACCAGTAACACACACCCTGCTCCGCTTTCTCATTTGGCTTGAAGTCCTTGGGACACAGAATCAGATATTTGCATAGCAGTCAGCCTGACTTTTTCAAAAGCTCTATTACGCAAGTCAGGAACAAACTGCTTAACTTTGCCCTTCTGTGACTGCAGTTCACATCTGTCTCCATTCAGAATTACTCTCAAGCCTTGAAAAACTCCTGTGAAGAGTACAAGGTTCCCCACACCGACCTGTAGGAACACGTGACAAGCACACACACACAAAATGTGTATGTCTCAACGGTTTCCATTTTCCCGCAATACTTGTTACTACTTGTTAACACAACAAGCTGCAAATCAGAGCGCAGAACAGTCACACCTCTTGTTAAATGGGTAGGACGTAACTGACTCATACTTATCCCAAGAAAACTGTTTTCATAGTTAAGATATGCGACATCAGCTCATTCTAATGTGCTACTCTGAAGCTTTGTGTTGTGTGTTCTTGCCAGTACTGCGTATATTGTAATATTAACTCTCAGCCTGTGCTGTTTTTTATTATGTTATTGTTGTTAGAACCAGTCAGGGGACTACAGATGCAAGTTAGCTAAAGCCCTAATGTGGTTCAGTGCATCAAAGGGTGACGTGCATGTTTGACATGTAAATATGTCTGACTGACATTTTACATGTCACACTGCACATACACTTGTCACTTTAACATGTCACTTTCTGTTCGCTGGTGCACTTTATTTTTTAACTTTTATTCCTTTCTTTTTAAACTAACCCATAGCATTATATTTCATTTATCTTGCACTATGTTGTCTTGTTGTCCATTGTCGTACTGTCTGCTGTTATGCACCAACCGCCAAGTCAAACTCCTTGTATGTCTGACACATTATGGTAATAAATGTTTCCTGGTTCCTGAACTGTACATCTAGTATATTTTAAATAAGAATAAAAAACAAATCATGTGAAATCACTTCACAGATTAAGGTGAGAGATTGGAACAATGTTTTTGTTTTGTTGCAAGAGCTAGTTCACCCCAAAGTAAAAAAAGTCTGCTCTAATGTAATGCAAGTCCCTGCAGTAGGATGCTATTGTGAGGGCTCACATCGCCTATTAGGTTTCCTATTGCAGTATTTTGGTCACACATATGATAAGAAGGGCCAACCCAGGGTATCTACATGTGATCATCAACCTATTGCTCCCATACACTTGTGCTAGTCCCAATGTGTTGAACCAACTCCGCGAACTAAAGAGGAAATAAAGATTGCAAACGACTCGACTCCCCCGACCCTGCTGAACCAGCCGTCTGATGGGAGGACCAACCGGAGTTGGACAACACCAGCTGGACGATGTCATCATACGGGGCAGTGAGAAGACGTGGCACGCGCAGCAGAAGGCGCTCACCTGACGGCGCGTTCTCGGCGACGTGGCCGTCCGGAGGAGGCGCGCTCTGTCTCTCAGCCCAACTTTCTCCAGACAGACAGCAGAAAAACATCCACAAGGTCGCTAATGTGTTGAACTCCATGACTGGTGTGCGCTGGAAAACAAACAATAAAAAGACAACAGAGTCACTTGACAGTACTGACAACTCTAACGAAGCTCATTTGGCCGTGTCTCTGTCACGGCTGATCGATTAAAACAGCGTTCCGGGAGGGAAAGAACAATGGAGCTGCTTTGTCTCCCGGGGACACATGACACGTAAGCACGCCGAGGGGGAACGGCGTTACTCGGCTTCAGCACTTCTCCAGTGTACCTCTTCTTCCTGAATGAATGGCTGGCTGCTCACACTCGGTAGCTTGCTGATACAGAGCCCCCACTTCGGTCCGCCCTGCGGTGTGCCTTGGGTGGTGGTGGAGGGGGTCTTTAGGGGCACGTCTGCCTCCGCGGAGGACGATAATCCGATGAGAGAAGGTGTCACGGCAGCCTGGTGCACGCGCGCCCCGGTCACCGTGCAGCCTCCACCGGGTGGATGTCTGACTAACGCTAGCTAGCTAGCTAGCTAACTTGAACATCTCGGCTAACTAGGAAATGAAGTGAAATACTCGACAGAGGGGGGGGGGGTAACTAAAGAGGTCTCACACTCACGCTTCCGTGTTTTTTTCACGTTGTTTGTGTTTTTTTGGGCAGTTCGGATGCTCTACAGTCAAACGGCATTTAACGTGTGAGTGTCCTGGTTCGACCCGCTACCGGCTTGGTTTTGATGTAACGTGTAGAACAAGTCAGAAACACTAAATACAAAAGTAAAAAAAAAGCGGGCTAACGTTGGACGATAACGTTACAACTGTAACGCGGTGACGCTAAATACCAGAAAACACGAAGTTACCTGTCATGTATCGGAGCCGGCGGGTCTTTACTTTCAGCTCCGTGTTGACATCGCAGCGGATGCCTGCTCCCTCGGAGTTAAAGTACGGCGTGCTGGACCTGCGGTGAGAAAAGCTCTCTATCGGTCTGCCCCCCCCCCCGGACCGAGACTACCGAAAAACGCCGCAGAATGTGTTTGACACTTTTTCTGCCGCTACACATCAGAGTCCCTGCTCATCGCCAGCGACGTCCGCCCCCCAGCGTCCGGAGTGTGTACTGGACAACGGAGTCAATTCAGACAGTGTGCTGAAGTCTGCCACCTAGCGGATTATTCAAGCCACTACATTGGCAAGCAATGTGTCTTGTAGATATTTTTCACAAATTGTGAGTCAATAAATTGTAATGGGTATAATGTAATTTTGTTTGTTGGAGTTTTTTGAATAGACATATTTTTTCAAAAGTAATTTACTGTACTTTGTTGTGTTTTGACATTGGAACAGAAGTAATTGTTTGATTTTGCACACATTTAAAATATTGCGGTTGATTTAAAAAAAAAATACTTAACATATGAATTTCTAACTTTCTCTGTGTTGGAGAATTTTTTTTATTAATTAAATGATCTTCATTTACACTATAGTGAAAAAAAAACACAAAATGGTTCAAGGTCTCTCTCCAGCAAAAATGAAGTTTCTTGCTCGTATTGCCAATTCTTCCGTCATCCAGGTCGGCTTTGAGGTGAGGGTAGAAAGACGCTTAAGGGTATTGAGTTATTGCTTTGGGCTACACTCATTTCAAAACACCATTATTCTAAGTAGACCTACCTCACATCCCTTAAGGATGGAAGTTAACGGAAAAGCATGATGTGTCAAATACATTCACCAAGGTAAAGTAAGTGCCATTAGTGCATTTTCTTTCTGTTGATTTGCATTTGTAATCAGCCACAAGATTCTTTTACATCATAAAGCAATGGGTCAAAGTTAAGTGGTGCATGATCGTGATTCCTGCTGCACATCAACAACAGGGCATTACAGTGACACGTAACTTAGTACAGATAGTTCACATTTGACAACTGTTGCCTGATTTCAACCTCTGACCGTGTTGAAAAAAGTAGACCAAGCATGTAGTTGTTGACGTACTGTCACTTTACTTTGGCACACATACAGTAAGACGACCAGATCTTGTTGTGCTTTGTACAAAAGTTGAGATTTCACATTACATAAAATATAGTACTGTGTGTAGGTGAAGTTATCCATGGATGAGACACAGAGGCAAAAAAAGCACTTAGAGCTCACAGAACCGCCTGTACAGTGGCACATGTGCTCGTCTGACATCATGGAAATGTGCGGAAGGGGCCTTCATCCCACTCATCTCAGCTGGGCAGTATTAAGGCTGTTCCCATCAGGTGAATGTGTGGTTGTACATTCAGCACTTAGTGCTTGAGGTTCTAGTCAGAAGTCTTTATCTTCAGAGGACGAAATGACCATGACCTCACGGCTCTTAAAGTCCCACACGGCTGTGAGATGGAAGGCCATGTTGGAGACAACCACTAGATACTCAAACAGGGCAAATAAAGTGTAACCTATGAAAATAAGAAACAGACATACATGATGGACAAGTTTTGTGTCATGTTTCTTGAAGCGTCGTTATAACCTTTTACAGATAAGAACAAATGAATCAAACTTAATAATAATAATTTAATACCCTACTTACTCCCCGATTCGCAGTACATGTTGTGTTTCCAATAGAAGAATCCGGCCAAACCACAGAAGGACACGTTAAGAAGCAAGAGACGCACTTTCCAACAGTGAGACATGGCATCCTGTAAGGAAGATGACAATCAACACAGAAAAGTGGACCTGAAGTGGAGGAAGTGCTGCAAATGGCATGAGAGATTTCATTTTGTGAGTCATTTGGCATCCCTTACCTCAGGACTCAATGAATTCTTCCTAATAGTCTTCCATAAACGGCAAGTTATCGCCATGTAGATAAGGGAACTGGCAAGGAAGAGCACAAAGCCTTCCTTATGTACAACTGAGGATACAATATATACAAAGAGAGGGGACAGAGAGTCATTGTATCCATGAGCTGCCAAATAAAATACTTTAAGGCAATGCATCTTTGACCTAAGGCTATGGTAACGTTTCAACCAATTGAAAATCTCTGTATACAAGAAGTCAAAGCCTTCAAACCCATTCTAGTATGTGCAATTAAATTCTAAATCTCTGTTTACTTAAAATGTAAATCAAAAGGAAAGCAGTGGTTTGAATAAAACCTTTCCAATAAAAAACAAGCATTACTCACAGTACGTTTCACTCGATGACACGTATGTGAGGAGCAAGAGGCCGAGGTTTTCACAAACGGAAAAGGCCAGACTGAAGCAACTGAGTGAACTCTCCGGGAACCTCGAGGCAAATCGTGCCTTGTAAAATTTGAAGTAGGTAAATGCCACCAGGAGCCTCGGAGCCGAGTGGAGTCCGATACAGAACCGCCATATGTGGCACTCAGGGCTCAGGCTTATTGAGGCACTGATGGATGGCAAGTAATTAGGGACCTGTAAAACACAGTGACGATTTAGTACAACCTGAGCATTTGAAGCAAAAGATGGCGTGGTGCATTTCGCCAAATGAGGAAATTACCCGGCAATGTGTACCAGTAGAGTCGTCATAATGAAAAACAGAGGATATAAAGATGCAAGTTATCAGTCCAACCAGCGGTAGGCACACAGTAAACCCAACACAGGCGCCGAATGATACCCTGATGACCAGGGGCCTCTCGTGCCCCAAGATGCTGGAGCCCTGTAGCATCTTGGTCTGAAAACAGTGCGAAATGCTTCATTTAAAAAATGTCTTACAAAGGCGAGGCATGTGTGATACTGAAATTATTAACTTCGTTCAAAAATGATGGGCTACATATGAGGTATTTATGAAGTGCTCACATATTGTCAATATTCAATCAGTTATGTGGGGACATTTTGACACTCGGGCATGCAGTAACTGAACATATGCAGTCTAAAAATACCGGAACCAACCTACCTCGACTGGCTGTTTACCAACTACTGCCACACAGTGCACGCGCCTAGCGTGTCAATGCTGTAACAATAACACTCGTGATAACACGATGCAGGGTGGATCGATCTGGGGTATTCGGGATGCCAACAATAGCATGCAGCGCCTCAGAGAGAGCAGCGCGTCGCGCAGCAGATTTCACATCCGCGTGACAGCTTTTGCATTCACTGAAATCCACTTGATTGCTCGCAAAACACGACAACAGGGCAGCGAATGCAGCATCCCCCCCCCCCCTGTGCTACAGATAGTGGGAGGAAAACACGGTCACAGCATGAAAGGCATCAGTACCCGGAAGAGAGAGCGAGCGGAGGAGGAGAGTGCAGAGGATGCTGCGTTAGGGCGGCGCAGCCTATACACGGGACGCGCGCACGCATCATGGACCGTAATGTTGTTATGAATAGAATACGTTAAGTAACTATTTAGGTGCCGTTTTTCTGCTATTGGGACTGGCGGTGCATGCTCGAGAGCAAATTGGTTATCCGTTTTTATTTTTGTAGTAGTAATTCCTTGTGGTTTGTGCGTATTACGCGGTTATAACATGTGGGGCCGCCCCGCCTCTCCTCGGCTTTCCTCTCTCCCGATCACACGTCACGCTCTGCTGGTGACCTTTGGTGAAGGAAACTCTTTATAGGCACACAGCGGCCCAGATGCTCTTGGGATCGAGGTCGTTTGTTTCAGCAAGATGAAAAGATGGAGAACCCAAACTGCATGTCGCTTGCTTCTGTGTGTCACTATTTTACCAAGTAAGTTTCCATTCATTTGAAATGACCCCATGTTCTCTTAAATAATGCATTATGAATTGTTTGCAGTTTATTTCAGTTTTAGAGAGACAACCTGTGCCAGAAAGGGTGACAAGGATGTGATTCATGATTTTTATGATTTCTTAATTTGCACAATTTAAGCAATACAAAATAAACAATAAACAAACAATATAGAAATAAGGAAGGAAGAAGCCAACTGGGCTTATTTGAAGCATGTGCATAAACATGTGCATAGAGTGTTGTTGATCAACTGTGATTGGCCGAGCTCTGACAATGTCATTCTTTAACAGTAAAATGTGGATTCATGGTTCATTCATTTTCTCTCAGAATTCTATTCCTCTTCCAAGCAAACCCACAATGAGAAAAGCAGTCGTTGAAGGATTTGCTAACATTATAATCCCGCAGAGGTTCTTTGCATCCTGCTCAGAGGCTTTACTGAAACAGCGTTTGAGGGTTGACATCTGGCTGGCCCAAATCCATTGTTGACAAGGAGACGAGCTATTGTTAGAAAAAAAATCCAGTGTTTCCATTTTAAAACTATTCATCTCATAGAATGGTTCCTGACAATTATTTCCTTATTAAATTGTTAATATCATAACCCACACAGGGGGACCTAATAAAGCCACTGCTGGCAGATGATAGAAGTCTTTCTAGAGTTTATAAAACAATCTGATATGCTTCTTTTTCCCCTTCCACCATCTGTGATGCAAATTCTCCTCAGAATCCATATCTCTGCATTTACTCTGAATGTCGTAGGCCAGAAAATGTATTGATCAAAACTCATCGCATCTGAATATCCTTTGAACAAAACCCTTTCCCTGACTAAAGAATTATAAACAAAAGTGATGTGGCACCATTAAGTGAAACGCAACATGATCTTTTTGGCGATGTGACCGTAAATCCTTCCTCTCCCTGTCTCAGCCTGTTGGTGTGCTCAGGGGAAATACGCTCAGAAGCTCTTGAACGATTTATTCACCAACTATACGAGCGCGCTGAGGCCTGTGGAGGACACAACCACCATACTGAATGTGACCCTGCAGGTTACGCTGTCACAAATTATCGACATGGTAAAACACCGCACCACATCCGTGGAGAAACCCACTCAATAATGACACGTTTATATTTGATCAGATCCCCGTTTTTCCTGCAATATCCCATTTCTCCGATTGTCAAGTACTTATAATCCCTAATGTTTTTCAGGACGAGCGAAACCAAATTTTGACTGCATATTTATGGATACGGCAAGTGTGGTTTGATGCGCACCTCAAATGGAATAAAGATGATTACGATGGACTCGATACCATCCGCATACCTAGTAGTTATGTATGGAGACCTGATATAGTCCTATATAACAAGTAGGTCGGATTGGTATTGAGTTAATCATTTAGGGATCACATTCTACTATTTATTGGTCAGAATAAAAGGGACAAGCTGAACAGTCGTTGAAGACATTATTCATAAGAGTGTCCAGGCCTTTGTCTGATTTTTATATAGAAGAGTGCTGAGAAAAACAAAATAATACAGACTGAACATTTACAATTTAATCAATCACTTCTATGCCAAAGATGAAGGACGTATTTCCAAGAGTAGCAGAGCATATTGTTAACCAGAGAGAAAGTAATTCCCATTGCACATAACTATATAACTATATAGCTAAAACTATAGCTATATGTATAATCAAATGCAGACACATGTAAACACTCAGCATTTCTGAAATATAAAATGTAGACATAACACTGAGGAATGAGTGCAACTCTCTCAAATGTGTTGACTCTCCCCCCCAGTTGGTGCACTTGTGCCTTTGTATTCTGATCAAATTTCTTTGTCCATCTTCTTAACAGTGTGTCCAAAATTTGGACACACTTTCTCATTAAATTGAAGGAGCAAATGAGTCCAATCCTTTGACTGGTACTTTATCCAAATTACCTCTTGGTATGAACCTTTTCTCTGTTTGTCAGTGCTGATGACCATTTCACTGGCTCCATGGACACCAACGTGGTGATCCGGCATGACGGCCAGATGATGTGGGACTCCCCGGCTATCACCAAGAGCTCCTGCAAAGTGGACGTGTCTTTCTTCCCCTTCGACGCTCAGCAGTGCAGGTTCACTTACGGCTCCTGGACCTACAACGGTAACCAGCTGGATATCCTGAATGCCATGGAGAGCGCGGACCTGGCCGACCTAGTGGAAAATGTGGAGTGGGTGGTGCTGGGAATGCCGGCCAATAAGAACATAGTTCAGTATGGCTGCTGCGCTGACCCTTACCCTGATGTGACCTTCACACTGAAACTGAATAGAAGAGCGTCCTTTTATGTCTACAACTTGCTCATCCCATGCGTGATGATTTCTTTCCTGGCGCCACTGGGCTTCTACCTGCCCGCTGACTCTGGGGAGAAGGTGTCATTGGGTGTCACCGTGATGCTGGCCCTCACTGTCTTTCAGCTGTTGGTTGCAGAGATTATGCCACCCTCTGAGAATGTGCCACTTATCGGTAAAGGGCCATACATACAATGGAGTTAAATCCAAAACTTGTGTTACAATTGCAAGTTGCAACTCTGCTGATTCCTCTCTGTCCTTTGCTTCCGCAGGAAAGTATTACATTGCAACGATGACCATGATCACGACCTCCACTGCCCTGACCATCTTCATTATGAACATACACCACTGTGGTCCAGATGCAAAGCCTGTTCCCAAGTGGGCCAAGAAAGTTATTCTGCAGTACATGGCCAGAATGTGTTTCGTGTTCGAAGTCGGGGAGAACTGCTTGTCACCTCAGCCGGAGAAAGAGGAGCCTCCACTCGTACGGAACACCAACTGCGGCATGAATGGTCAGGCAGGGCCGGGCCGAGAGGACTGCGTCTTCAGGATGGAGGCAGGGCACGAGACGGTGGACGCAGAGGAGAGGGAAGATGCGGATCAGACGATGAGCCCAATAGGCTCCATCGGGAAGAACCCTACCAGCAACTATAGCACTTGGAAACACGGCAGTTACATGAGCATGGACTGTGGAGAGGCCGGGGGTCAGACCAGATGCAGGAAGGGAGGTGTGAGCGATGGAGAGAGAAGAGACGGAGAGGTTTCCTGCAACAGCCAAAGCAGTGAGAGGCAGCTACTGCGTAACATTGAGTACATAGCCAACTGTTACAGAGATCAGAGGGCAACACAGAAAAGGACTGGGGAGTGGAAGAAAGTTGCTAAAGTTTTAGACCGCTTCTTCATGTGGATATTCTTCATCATGGTCTTTTTCCTGAGCCTTCTCATTATGGGGAAAGCCATCTAACAGCCGGTCTGACAAGCGGCCCTTACTCTTAGTGTGTTACTGTACCTGATGATTTAATGTTAGTAATGGTTTATTCTGAATGATGCCATCACCCACCTGACTGCATTCCTAATTATTACTATTAGACAATTAATACAAATTGTGTTGATTGGTTTTGTTGTTGTCGTCAACTTGCATTCCCGACTTTTGTCACAATACTGTGTGATAGTAATTATGCTCGGAAATAAAAAGTCAGTTAGTAAATCAACACATGTTCACCAATATGGATTAGTTCCTGTTAATGTATTTCATTTAGTAAGAAACAATAAGTCAAGGAATTCAAAGATGCAGCCCAAAGCAGTGACAAATTGTGCGATGCATTGCTGCCTCAGACATTTCAAACATGATTCTGTATGGAAGTATCGTAAAATGTGTAGTTCTGAAACCATTTCATTATTCTCAAATGAAATAGAAAAATTATACAAATGCTTGTGGTTATAATTATTTCAATTTGCTTTTCATTCAATGAGAAGTTTAAAATCAAGTTAAAGATACCTGAAAAAAACAAAATCTGTTCATTTGGGACATTTTTATTGTTAGGAAATCTAAAACAATTACAAGCAAAGTATTATATACACAATTCTAGTAAATGTTGTGTTCTTTGTGTTGTTGTACTGTATTTTAATTTACATGAGTTGTCAAACTTATGGGCTATATGAAACATTGCACTTATCCAGGGGACTCGGGAAGAGGAAAAGCCAACAGAAAGTGTGATGATAATAACAATAAGACACAATGGAGGAGGGCTCGTTACTGGGGTCTAGCACACGGGGGGCCAGTAGACCGTCATTATACCATTGTGACACTTTATGAAACTTTATTATGTTGAGCTTAAAAATTCTATCTGCAAATAGTAGAAATGTATCCCGAAATCACACGGATGACAGAAGACAATTTTCTTCCCTTTCATCAAAAAAATATATAACAAATACATCTGATTTAATTGAGAAGAGAGTGCAGAAATAATTTGCTATTTCAAATATAAATGGTTTCAATTGAAACAAGGGTACTTGTCCATGTCTTATTTGTCTTTTTTCCTCCCACCTTATCAAGCATCAGGTTGGAGTCACTTTTCTTTGCAGTATTTGGATAATTTTGTCCCGTAATGTTCTTGATTGCATTCCATAAATTATTGGATTTAAATTGGCAGGGACCACATGAAATAAAATGTAGGCAATTTTCCTTAAATCTGGATAGTTTGGAAAACGGTGCAATATGATTGTCAAGAACCCCGACCAGAGCATAATGAGATACAGAACAAGGTGGCTGGTGCAGGTTTGAAGTGCTCTGTTATTCAACTCTTTGCTTTTCTTTATCCAGCAAATGACAGCTATTCTGAAATAGGTCACAGCGATGCCTCCCATCGAGCAACTGAACAGCACAACGGTGAAGAAGAGCCCATAGATATTATTGATGGACGCGTCCTCACAGGAGAGCTTGAACAGCGACGCGTTGTCACAGTAAGCGTTTTGTATCACCGACCTGCAGCGGGACAGCCTCACCGTGAGCCCTATCAAAACAGACACCAGCACCAGCGACACCGCCCACGCACTGGCTGATAGCACAACCACAGCTTTGGTGGTCATTATGGAGGCGTACCTCAAGGGGTGACATATGGCCACGTATCTGTCTATCGACATGATGATGAGGATCATATGGGAGGCGGACCCGAACGTGTGGCTGTGAAAGGCTTGAGCCACACACTGGTTGTAGGTGACGAAGCGTTCGGTCGAAACGACGTGAGCCATCAGCTGAGGCAGAAGCACTGTGTTGCCCATGAGGTCGTTGACGGCGAGGTTGCAAAAAAGAATGTACATGGGCTGGTGCAGCTTCTCCTCACTGATGATGAGCACAAGGAGTCCGATGTTAGAGCACATCAAGGTGAGGTAGACAAACAGCAGTAAGAAAAACAACGGGTACATGAAATTTGGGGATATGTCGAAGCCTTGGATCTTTAAGATATCACTTGTCGTGTTGTTTTCCATTCTCGGTCAACTGATGAAAGACCTATGAGAGAAAAAAATATCAGGCGCTTTTACAGTGATAGGTGGAACAACAATCAAACATCAGGCATTCTTTTGTTATTAATTGCACCTTTCATTCTTTATTTCAATCGGACAAAGTGAACAAAATGAGAAAAAATAAAACAACTAATAAGAATAAAGAAAAGAATGGAAAACTTTATGTTTAAAGGACAATACTTACTTCTTTGACAACTAAATTGAATCCCCTCCTGCATAAATACTGAGCACAAATAAATTATTTCATGGGAACAACCATTACATTATGAACCCAAAATCATTTTTGACCCATTCTATACATTGAAAGGACTTGTGTGAAATGAGCTCTATCCCGTACATGAATGCCTGAGGAGGTGGGATTCACAACTCAGCAGCCAGATCGTCTACTACGATCTACTTTATGTTCAGCGTGACTAACATGTGACGTCAGCCCACTGTCCTCCTCATTAGATTGCCAATGTTTTATGTAACAATGGTTAAGCTGCTCCTGGTCGGGAATCTTAAGTTAAGATTTTTTCATTTATTTTGTTTAGACACAGAAACCCAATTCCATTTGTTTTATACCTGTCACTATTCAAAACCAACAAGTACCTTTAACTACTTATATGTTGTTACGTAAATCCAATTCAAAGCTACGCAACTACGCGGCAGCAACATTGGGAGTAAAATTAAAAGTATTCCTTTACTTGTACAGCATGCTACAATAATACAATTTCATCTTAATTTAAATAAGGTCAACATTAAAGTTGGAATATTAATTTAGCACCTGATTGAAATCTTTCTAATTTGTCTAATTGCCTTTGGAGTGAAGATAGTAAAACAGTTAAAGTTAAATCAGCCAGCAGATACAATTTACACAACTTTGTCTTCAAAATATACACAACAGTTACAAACAGATAATTCAGTTAAGCCAAAAAAATGTCTGTGTATCAATATGTACGGCATATGGCCTAATATTTGTAAGCAAAGCTATGGGACAAGTTCATTTTAAAGTTTGCTTAACCTCAGCCCAAAAAGAATTGTTTGGTCAAATCAATTATAAAAGTAACTCAAGGGTCCATCATGTCCATTTCTCTTGGGTGAGATGATTAGTCATGTTCTTGGTGTCATAATGTCCAAACCACTTGTTTGTGTGCACGACCCAGAGCCTTGTTCCCAAAGGCATGATGTGACCACTGTTTCAATTTGCCTATTTCTTCTGGAACATATAAAACAATAGAAAAAGGCTGTATAATAATTTAATGAGCCATTTGTCATATCCATCCAAACTGTGGATTTCAAATAAAATGTTTACAGTTTGTTTTTCACATGCAGACAAAGATGTTACAGCCTCCCCTGGGAGTTATTAAACAGCATCCTTCATCAGCAAACAACAAGGAATTACTCACTCTCCGGGGATTAATTACAATATGAGACAGTTAATACTTCTATTGACTGCATCTCAATGGGGCTCATTACCACATTTGTTTTGATAAAGTAATGACGCATCTAGCTGATGTAACTCAACCAAATTTGTCGTGTATCATAGCTCCATGATATGCCAAACGTGTTTAGTTTCTTGTGTGAAAACCGTTTTTATGTGAACGGAAACATAAGAAGAATAAACTTCAGAGCCTTCAGACCTTCCTTGTACTAGAGTACTGGAGGCCAAATAACTGGTTTTAGTATTAAAACTAGTGGCGGCTCTTTTCATGGATCATCTCTGTAAATCTCAAAGGTCAAAGTGACTGTGATTGTAAAAACATGAAGAGTATCTGTTGATTAAGTGGAGAGACGCAATGTTATAATTGCCATAAGAAGGAAAATTATATTTATACCTACAGTTCAGTTATTATAGTTGAGGTTTGATTTTTATTTTGACCTTATTTCTTCTGCGACTAATGTTAAAATATGAAAAGCAAAAACATTCAGAATGACACATTAACCACAGTGCTAGAGCAAGGAAATGAAAGTTGTGTACATGTACAGTATAATCATAGCTTGTCATCGAGACAAATACCCAACAAAAATATTTTTTTTGTTTACACCATTAACAGCGGTTGTGTCAGGATCCCATCAGCTTCACTCACTCCTCCCACTCGTTCACAGTCCCCTGAATTCTAATCATCGTCTCTGCACCTCATCAGTTCACATCCCTTTATATTTGGCTCCTCTTCATACACTCAGTGTCTGGTCTCGTCTCTACAGGACACCGCAGACTCCAAGCTACGTTCCTGAATCCCTACCGGCTGATCCAAGGGACTCTCCTCCAGTCCGTAACCTGGAACTCGGACTACCCTCCTGTTAACGTTCCAACCTGATCATCTGCCTGCCTATTCCTCATATCTCCGTCTGCTTCCATTATCGTGTCAATAAACTATTAAACTCACCTCACGGCTGTCTCCTGTCCCCCATTCGTGACAGGTTGACAGTGAGCTTAGCAGCGACTTCTCAAAGTGATTATTCCTGTCTTTATTTTTAGAAACATTTATATGGATTAAAGACTAATCCCAGCAAGCAGTTGGTCTTAGAAGCTTCACATTATATACATCTGCTTTTTTGCAATATTACCCTCTTCTGTGTTCTAATTGATCTGCCAATCAGTTTGTTGGGTTTATCCATGTCATGTATGATTTGAGGGCAGCTCTAGACTAACAACAATTTACTAGCTGTAGTACCACACCTTTACCAAAACACTATTGGTAAGTCATTCATGTAAGACAGTTTGGTTTTTCTTAGTGAAGGATTTTGTTTTTGTGCCGGTGTGATTTCACACATTCCTATAGGAACTCTGGTCGATATTTCTAAGGAAGTAGTGTATTCGTTATTGGAAAGCCAATGAGAATCACTGAGGCACAAGTGACGTAAACAAGTCACTGCTGTGTAAACATAGAATAAGTAGGCTGGTGCAGGGAAGCTCTCCACAGATCGTTGCGATTACTACGCAGTTTCTGGCAATGACATTTATTTCTTTTTGATCTACAGTTAGCGGGAGAAGAAATGGAGAACAAATCTTTTGGGTTCAGATCTGAGTTAACCCTCGACACATTTGTTATTCCACCTGGAGGAAAGTATCCCATGTTTTTATTTGGTATTGCAATTTATTTATTTAGCGTCTTTTGCAACCTGATGTTGTTGAGTTTGATCATTCTGAAAAGGAACCTCCATAAGCCCATGTATTTCATCCTGTTTAGTCTGCCCCTCAACGACTTGATAGGCGTGTCTGCAATGTTACCCAAAGTGCTTTCGGACCTTGTTACAGAGACAAACACGGTCTACTATCCTCTTTGTGTTTTGCAAGCCTTCTTGCTCCACATGTATGGTGGTGGAATTTTGTTTATTCTCGCAGCCATGTCTTTTGATCGTTATGCCGCCATCTGCATGCCGCTACGCTACAGCTCCATCATGACCCCCAGAGTTATAATTTGTATCATCTCACTAGTCTGGGGCCTTGACTTTGTCTTGATCACATCCTTGTTCTCTTTGCAGACAAGGCTTCCCCGTTGTAAATCTGTGATCATGAATGTGTTCTGTGACAACCCGTCTCTTCTGAAGCTCACATGTGGAAACACGACAGTCAATAATGTCCTAGGGTTATTTACCACAGCTGCAATGCAAGCTGTAAGTGTGTCTATTCAGGTGTTTTCCTATGTAAAGATACTGATCACATGTATGGTTACAAGAAGGTCGGAAGCAAAAACAAAAGCTGTCAACACGTGCGTCGCACAGTTGCTTATATTAATCATATTTGAGATTGTGAGCACTTTCACAATTTTATCTCACAGGTTCAAAAATGTCTCAGCTGACTTGCAAAAAATAATGGGTATGCTGATATTCCTTGTACCGCCGCTTTTGAATCCAATTGTATACGGGCTGTATACAAGTGAAATACGGAACACTCTTTTGACAGTGTCAGCCAACATTTTTACACAAGTGGGCTGGTTGCGCTAACATTTTGTATTATTGAGCTGCAGGGAATTTCATAACACTTTTATCTCTGTTAGTATCCATGATAATGTAAACATCATCAACTGCATGAAACCATGACAATTGCATGAACTTGAACACAACCCAAAGTCAGTTTTGACTGTTTTCATTTTACCTTGGGAAAGCTTCCATTACAGCTTCCATTTGGAAATTCTGTTTGCTGCTGTGGGACCCGAAGATTTACTTTGAATATTTTTGATGATATATCATTTTTTTCTATAGAGTGAACCCTTTTTGGAAAAGGGAAACCTATTTTAACTATATAATGAAACAGAGACAAACTGTATGAGTGGTGGAACTGGAGCAAATTGCATGGCATGTGATGAGGCTAAATCTTTCTGCAGTTATATAAATATGTTTTACTTGACTTTTAAAAAAGAAAAGTGCATTCTTTTGCATTTTTCTCTTTCATGTCTTTACTGGAGCGTGCACCACTTTGTGTGTACAACGGATGTATTAGTTTCATACTGCACATAGTTTAATAGGAAACACATTGCATTTTCATTTAAAGTATATTTTAAACCATTTCAGACTTTAGTGTGTTCTGTACTCTTATCATGTTCACATTTAAGAGTTTAATTGTTCCTGTTTGTATTTACGTCTCGTGAAGTCTATTTGTCTGTGAACTGGTTGATATCCATTACTCACACTGTAATTATTGCAGTCTTAAATCTATAGAAAATGTACAGTTTGTACAATGTTTCATGTGTGGTACATTAATAAAATCAAAAAATGTATCTATGTTTGTATTCATTAATTCAATCATATTCTGGAAATTCGTGATTTAATGAAAACTGCAATATTTTACATTAATCCCCCAAAAATTCTTTACCTTTCCTTATATTTCTTAAATGTATGAGCATTGGCAACCTTTGGAAAAATAGTACAGATCGCGGGAAAAGCTGAGGGAGAAGAAAGAATGAGTTGAAAAGATGCAGATTCTAAATATTATTATATTTTTACAATCCTCCTGTTATTCATTAGGGAAGCTCAAACATTTTGCCAAAAGGAAATACTGTAAATGAAGTGATAAGGAAAATGGTATTCAACGACGGACATTTCTCACTAAATGGGGCTTCAAGCCCAGAACGATTTATTTGATCCGATCCTGTGATGTAGCAGACTACGGTTTCAACAGACAACATTGAAATGTAAATATTTCCTGATGTCCACATCTGGTCCTTTCTGCCATGCATTGTTCATTTTCCACACATCACAGTTTGGTGATGTGAAGAGTTACATAAGTCCTGCATCACGGAGATTCACAGTGTTTCCGCCATTCCTTCAATACGGTGACATTGCTGCCATCCATAGGCTCCTGTCTATGTTGAATTTTGCATATGCGAGTTCAAAGCTCAAAACACTATATTGTGTTATACCAAGGTTGAGCATATGAAAACAAATTTGAGAAAAAAAAAAAAGTAAAGGAAGAAAAATACTTTTTCAGAATGATTATATGTTCAATCATTTCGGCATATGGCAAACCGCAAAAAAGAGCAGATGTACAATACATTGTGACTAAAGGCCTGAGAACTGACTTTATTCATGAGGTTATATAAATCCAAATATATATTACATGTATGCATATTTTACAATAGGAAAGACATAGGTGATTTAAACTGTTTTTTAATGAATAATTATGTTGCAAATGAAGCTATGTTGTTGCAACCTTTTATGCTGTGGTTAATATTTAGCAAGAGGGGGGGCGTCCACAAGTAACCACCCAGTCCCGGCACTGGGTATTCCAACCAATCACAACCTTGCAGTCAAACTTTTTATGGAGTGATCTCCGCGGGTCCTTTCAGCTGTCATTGCAGACCGAATGCAACCCTCCTCCACCCCAGACACCTCCAGCCACCTTCAGGCATACTCCAGGCAGCATCAACCTGCAGAGACTTCCTGGCTTCACCACCACCACCACCAGTGTCTGGACTCCAGGGGGGGTTCTGGAGGAGCAGAACTCCTGAGTATCCGGGTCGAGGATAGAGTCCAATCGCATGTAATAAAAGTATCGTCTCACCTGATTGAACTATGGATATAAATGCATCTAATATGGAATTACTTACACTTGCACCATTTGACTTATCTGCTACAAGCATTTATCCGGTGTTTGTATTGGGCACGCTCACATATCTTATTATCGTCTTCTGCAACTTGTTGGTACTTGCAACTATTGCTGTGAGTAAAACATTACACAAGCCCATGTTTATCCTCCTCTTCAACTTGCCCATAAGTGACGTGTTGGGCAGCACAGCTTTTTTCCCTCATCTTCTCTTCAGCATTGTGACACAGAACAGAGTAATTTCCCAATCTGCATGTATTACTCAGGCTTTTCTGATTCATTTTTACGGTTCAGGAAACATGCTGATCTTGAGTGCCATGGCATACGACAGATACATTGCAATATGTTGTCCTTTGAGGTATAATGCTATCATGAGCCCAAAAAATGTAATCAGAATCATTATTTTAATATGGTTTCTAAATTTCTCAATGATGTTAACTTTGTTTTTGTTGCTTGCACGGTTCAAAATGTGCAGGACAAATGTAGTGGATTTGTACTGTAACAATCCTTCATTGATGAAACTGGTATGTGAGGACACCAGAATAAACAACTACTTTGGGATGCTTTCTATAGTCCTACTCATGGGAGGACCGCTGTTAATGATAATATACACATATGCACAGATTTTGCGAACATGTGTCATGACTAATCAAACCGATGCTCGGAAAAAAGCTTTTCAGACTTGTGGTACACATTTAGTTATTTTTTTAATCCTACAAATTAATACTATCTTTACACTCATTGCTCATCGCATTCAGAGTGCCTCCCCGTACATTAGAAGGCTACTGGGTATATCAGTCTTATTATTTCCCCCTTTCTTGGACCCGATTATTTATGGACTGAAAATAAAAGAACTGAAGCAGCGCATAGAAATGTTCCTAAAAGGGAACATTTTTTCAACCAAGTTGTAACTAGTTATCTATTGTAATTAGAAGAGTCGTGCTCACTGTACTTTTGTGTTATATATTATGTTGCCTAAAGAAACTGTTTATAAAATCCCCTTTAAATGGAGACTCCACCAACACCAATAGGCCATGTATTACTGCACCAAGTTACATGCTTTTTGTTGATTATTCCTTTTACGAATATGTTGTGTATTTCTCTGTATAATTCCCATGTTTGTATGTTTTCGTCAGCACTTCACAGGTTACAGAAGCTTGAGACTGTGGTAATAGCTGTGTTGTAAGGTGTGGAAAATGAGCTGTGAACAGTAGACTTAATGACAAATCATTTCAAAACTGCTGAAAGGTATGTCATTTATATAATTGAGATATCCAAAGGATCAAAAAAAAAAAACAGCCGCAGAAACAAACCGCAGAACACTGCAGAAACTGATGCATTGTCCCTGCCCAAATGCATGTAGTGAAAATGTATTGAAATGCAATAATACATGTTACACTCTGTTTTGTAAATTTTGTAGTAGTGAGTTTGTATGTATCTCATAACGCTGTTTACATTCAATGCATTATTTGGGCTTTAAGGTGGACTATTGATGAGGAAATAAAACAATGTGAGTTTGATTATTGTCTGGTTTTCTTAACATTGCAATAAGTATTTGTTAGCAAATTTCATTATGTTTAACTAAAATATTTCAAGTTCAAATGTTTACTGTTTTTAATGAGAAACATTTGTCAAGAAACAAACACTGTTCATTGCTTCATTGCTTACCATTACTCATCTTTTTTTCGCTGCAGTTAATCTCCAAATGATAGAATCATCTAAATTCCTCAAATAAAAAGGAATGTAAAAAATCATTAGGTCTTCTCAGAAGAGTGCAAGTGTGTTTGTCCTCAACAAAGAGGATTGGGAATGAGCTGCAATTGTAATTTGAGAGTTTCATCCTGGAACACATTTCTCATTTGATATGCTGCATATTGAGATAGAAAAAGAAAACATGGAAATGTTTTGGGAAGATTAAAATATAGTTGATTTGTGCAATAGATCAGAAATCGATTATATATTTAAAATATTTCGAAAGATGAAAACATTATAGATGCACAAAACAACGTATTGTTATATAAATAAAGAATTGTGAGTTTGCCGGGCCTCTGTAGTGCTGTGACCCACTGTGATGTAAAATGCATCTGCAGATCAGAACGCCTTTTATCTGATATACTATAAATGTAAAGATGTGTGTATGCATTCCATAAAGTTTGAAGAGGCAATTACAAAAAAACAAGATGGTGCATGTTCCAAAAACACTGAATCCTACACTTCCAATAATGAAATTGAACTAATGTCTTTCATTAGATTTCTGTCTCAAATTCCCACTTCTTTCAAACCCCACCTCCCATGCGTATTGCAGGCTTAATGTTAAAAAGCCCAAGCAGAGATTACCCTGTTTAAGTCACTGAAGGGGAGGGTCATCGACACTCATCACTCTCTACACAGCTGTTTCTTCTCTGATGCTCCCACCGGGGGGCACATTACATATATATATTATGTAATTGATCTAAACCCTGCAGTGGGATTGTGATGACCGCCGCATTGCAAGACAAAGAGAACTTTTATTTCATATTTGTTACTTTTTACACTGGTCTGCAACTAATTGTGACAAGAACAATGACACTTTAAAAACAGCTGCCTCCTCGTTCAATTTGAATTAGGCCATTTCTTTGACATGGCAGGGAACAACTATGTGTTTCTTGCAGATATTCACAGCTCAACATGTGGTAATTATGATTGCATGGCCTTCACTCATTTTGTATATTTTGTATTGTGAGTGAGTGTTTTCAGGCTGGGCGGGACGGCCAAGAGGAGCGCTCTCTCACTACCCTCACCTGTGGCCAATCACCAATCAGGCACGAGTTATAGCCTGCTGTCTCCCAGGCCTCCTTGTCGGATCATTATCTCCCGCCGATGCGCCGATGCGCCTCGCCTCGCCAGCACGCTCACGCAGCCTTTGCGCAGTATCCTGCACGGCCTTCCACCGTACCTGCCCGAGGCCCTCTCCTCACGAGCCTCACAAGAAATAACCTTTTTTAACCTCAAAACCTTGTCTTCAGTTCTGCTTTTGGATCCAGTCCTCATCAACCCTAACACAGCAATTATTTTTGTAGAACGCTAAAGTGTTCTTATACAAGAGGACACCAACTGTTATACATATATTTACTGATTCATATAAATCAAGCAAGTGAAACAGGTCTTGAAATACAATTATATCACAGCATCACATGCCGAAACTATGGGAAATGCAGTCTTCCTCCCTTGCTGACAAATGGTTGATCATGCTCATATACTGGTTTGGTCCCTCTAATAAGAGTTTTAGGATGAACTTAGCAACAATCCCAACAATCCCAGTAAATATGTTACCTACTTCCTCGAGATGTTAGAAGCAAGTAAAAATGCCATTACTGGATTCGACACATTTCTGTCCTCCAATGAGGCTCTATGAACTATTATAATTAATCACGATTAATCAGCAATTTTATTTTGAATAATAATTAGTTTTGTCTTATTGTGTGAAAGATTGTAAAAAAAAGTCCTTCCATCGGAATGCTATGAAACGTATGACCTATTGTAGGAGAAAGCATATGTTTTAAAACTTTGCCTGCAGCAAGCCTCTTGTTCCCCCATTAAGGGCCACGCTGAAACCAAGGTCAGTGTTGCTGTTTGACTATATGGATGATGCCTTCTGCATGCTAGGTGGAAAATAGGATATAAAAATAATGATCCATATAACAAAAAACACAAATTCTTCAATTCACTTAAATTTGTTCTACTGATGAAAAAAAGTATATTTTAAATGTATCTCTGTCAATTCAATCATAATAACTTGTTTTGCATTACAGTATTTCACAATTGCTAAGACACATTTCTTGAAACCTTCACCCATATTCTCAAAACTTTAAACACAAAACCCAGTCTTTAAACTACATTCACAAAACCCCTGACTCTTCTGGCAAAATCAAACACTTGCCTCAAAACCATTTGATCTCAAAATCAAACAACGCTTTCAAAACATAAACACAGCCAGTCAATATATAAACACTCATCAGCTTTCATTAGACATTACATCAAAAAATTGAGAACACAGCGTCCAGCGCATGTAGTTAGAGAAAAAATGTTTATTGCATATAGAAAATAATTTTGCCATAAATAAAATAAAATAATTCACAACTCAGTAAGCCCAAAGAACTGACAACTGTAAATGAAAAGCGTACTACACAAAATATTGTGTTACTGTATTGCAAAATCAAAATCAATGAGAGACTTATTCTGCCTCCGCATCCTGTCTCTGTGCTGGGTCTGGCCAGAGGACTTCGTCCACATCACAAGCAATGTTGTCCCTTCCTAGGCAACGGGGGAAGAACCCTCTCGTGTGTCGGATCCAGCCTTGACAACTCTCCACACCAATGTCACCACAGGCCAATTCCATTGGCTGTAAAATATGTACCCTTGTATACGGGTTACCGTCATAGACCTTCCATCGCCACGCAGAGAAAAACTCTTCTATTGTGTTGAGGAAAGGGCTGTATGGTGGAAGGCAAACATTTAAGAATTGCTGGTTGATGTTGAACCACTCACGTACTCTGACACTACGGTGAAAGCTGACATTGTCCCAAACCACAACATAGATAGGATACACTGCCTGCTGATGATCCTGCTGCTCACGTTCAAACAAAACATCCAGAAGACCACCCAGAAATGTAAGAAGATGGTCAGTGTTATATGGCCCCAGGGTTGCATGATGGTGGAGAACCCCCCCATTGCTTATGGCTGCACATAGGGTGACATTGCCACCACGCTGGCCAGGGACTTCCACAATGGCACGTTGGCCAATTATGTTCCGGCCTCTCCTTCTCCTCTTCGCCAGATTGAACCCTGCTTCATCTACAAAAATGTATTCGTGGGGCCTTTCCATTTCAAATACCCTCTATACATAAATAATAAATAAATAAATAGTTTAGTAAGTGTTACAGACATATTTCTGCAAAAGTGTATCTATATGCGCTCCTGATTTACATGCACTAAAATATAGTGCAGTCACAGTAACAGTATAGGACAATAACGGTAGGCTAGAAACGTGTACTTCAAGCATCAGTGCTGATAGTGTAGGCTAAACTCACTTGCTATAGCTTGCTAGAGCTACAACTCTTTGCTATATTTCACGCAGTCGGATGGCATTGTTTTGACGAACCATATCAACAATGAGAACCTCTTGCTGTTGAACCAAGGAGTCCTTCCACCCTCATTTGGTAGTCTTGCAATTCTACAAAAGGGAAAATGCTCTTACAAATGTATACATAAAGTAACAATAGAAATGGACATGACATGTACTGTAAATCTTTTTTTTCTTTTCTCCCCAGTCCCTTCTCTAGTCAAAAACTGATGTACTGTATCAAATGTATTCAGGAAACTTTTAGTCGCACAAATTAGAAAAACAATACATTTCGTTCTCTTCCCTGAAGGTCCCGATAATGGTGGCCACAGAGAATCTGCTCAAATTGGGTTGTACTCTTTGTCCTGCTTCCCTCATTGTCATTCCATGAACAAGAACATGGTCTATCACCGTTTCCAGAATTTGATCTGAAATGACTATTCTTTGTCTTGCTCTTTGTTGTCCTTGTACTCGTCCTCTTTGCCCACCCTCTTACACGAACTCTTCCTTCTCCTCCTCCTCCTCCTCCTCTTCTGCCTCTCACATTGTGTCCATCCATTGTACCAATGTATCAACGTACCTGGGCAACCTGTCTACTCTGAACTGGCTTATATTCTAGACAACTGATTTGATCACATCATTAGAAAGAAGGGTGAACAATTTTGAGTTGTTGTGTGTAAACGATGACAGCTGTGTTGTAGTTGTGTTTAACTTTTGCCACATGTATATACCATTTTGCAACACAGTGCAAAATATGGTTTAGTGAGTGAGAATGTTTTTAGAGTTTTGCAAAAAGAGTGGATGAGATTTGCAAACAGTGTCTTAACTACCTGAACTTGTTAAAGGTTTTGCCCACAGAGTGACTGATTCGACAAATGGGTTTAGGCCACTGAGTATTGGGTCCAGAGAATAGGGTTTAGTGTTTTAGCAATTGTGAAATACTGTATAATATCCGTTTCCAATCCAATCAGTTTTATTTATAAAGCACAGTTAAAATGAACACAAAGGTTCCCAAAGTGCTGTACAATAAAATAAACACAATAAAACATAATAAATAAATAAATCCACTGTCCTCCCCAGATACCCAAATATACCCAAAATACTTGCGCACATAAAATCAACAACCTACGTAGTGTTAAAAGCCCAAAAAAAAAGGTGCATCCCTCAACATTTGAAATCTTTTTTCAATATATCTTTTTTCCATTTGCGCTCAGCTCTACGTCTGGCAGTGTGGGTAGTTTCATTCAACCAAGGCTCTGATTTAACTTTACGCTGCCTGCTCTTTAGTGGGGCAGCACAGCCAATGGCAATTTTACAAGTGTCGAGAAACTGAGAGCTAAGAGCCTCTGTATCAGC